TCCCTGGGTGAGCAGCTTTCACTGGGCTGCCGACCAAATGGTTGGCTGTTCAAATCCACCCAGCAGTGCCACGGAAAAAAGGGCTGGCGATCTGCTTCTGTAAAAGATTACAGCCAAGAACACCCTATGGAGCTCAGTTCTACTCTTTAACACATAGGGTTGCCATGAGTCAGAATCGACTTGATGACAACAGGTTTGTTTCGGTTTGGTCCCTTTATAAGGGAGGTGCTATCCTTGTTTCATAGAGGAGGTAACAAGCTTTGAGAGGTTACATCAATTGCCCAAGTCATGCAGCTATTAAGTGAAAGAGACCGGTTGTCCTGTCCTAAAATCCCATGTCCCTTAAACACTACCACATCTTTCAAAGGTTAAATGCAGCTCCATTGGATTGCTGTGCTAAATGTTCCACCTAGTTTTCTGCCAATTTTTAATTTTGCTCCTACTTGGTAAAACTGAGTCCAGTATGTTTTGGACGGTTATTGACTCATTTGTTTTTACGACAGAGATATATATTTTCAAGGATAAAATTGTTGACTGTGCGTCCCATTCAGGAGACTGTAGGCAATTATATTCCTAGGCTTTGCACATCAATACCCTCTATGAGTCCTGGTTATTTTTCAGATGAGGTTTAGAGAGATTATCTGCCTTGTCCAGGTTGCAAAGTGAGTGGCAGAGCTGAGATTAAGTCTCATACCTCTGAGTTTCCATTTTGTGGTTCTTTTCATTTCAGTAAACCGGGTCCCCTCTTGTCCCAGCAATGTTCATTGCCCTCTTCAGTGAATGACCTTCAGCAAGTTATATGATCTTTCTGTGCAGAGTTCTAATTAGTGCACCAAGAAAGACACAGTGTCCACTACCCAGGGATATTGTGAAGGCGATAACTAATAGCCATAAAACACTATAACCTACAGCATTATACAAACACCCAGCATGGCACAACCAAGTCTATTTCACAGTAATTAACTTGGTATCCAATAAGGGAGAAATCAGGAAAGCAATTAGGACTTTGCAGCAATGGCTATTTTCTCTGTGTCTTAAAAAAGTGCCCCACAGCCAGAAAAGAGAATTACGATATGCATATGAATTTATACCAAGACATTTGTAGATTAATATTGTTTTTCCTTCTTTAATATTGTTCTTTGGGACACATATGCTGTCCAATGGGAAAGTGGAACTGTTGAGTTTTATCAGCAATGAGAGTAAATCCTCTGTAAGCAATAACTATCATGCATATTATATAAATGATTTCTAATCTGCAAAATATGCCCAGAGGTGGGTAACTTCATCCCCGTTTTACAGATGAGAAAATCGAGGCTCAGAAGATTAAGTAAATTGATTAGGACCAATCCAGCTAATAAATGATGGAAGTAGGATTTGTATCTAAATCTTTTTGGTTACAAGGTTTTTTTTTTTTTCTCCCTACCACATGATATTGTCACAGTCAGTTAGCTTCGCATTTTCAGTTGATTTCCCAGAAATGATATAAACCCAGCCATGATCCACGCATACACTTTTGTTGGTCTGTCTTGGAAGCTAATGATCCATAGTTTTCAATTTGCTAGACAGATTAGCTGCACAATCTAGTACCATGAAACACATCTAAATCTCTTTAGACTACCTGCAGGTCAAACTCAAGACATTATTAACTTTAGTGGTCAAACCCAGAGCAAGGGTCCCTATGTCCCATCTACCTCTTTTATTGTCAGTTCCCAGTGTGGCGGGGGGGGGGGGTGTTGATAATAAAGAATTGGGGAGAAATATGAAATAATGACAATAATTTTGGCTGCACAACAAAAATGTCTTGCACCATGCAGGAAAACTAGATTAATGGGAACAAAACGACCAGAATGGAAATAAGGAGAATGTTCACACATTGAGAAGAATGTAACCAATGTCACTTAACTTGTGTACAAATTGTTGAATGGGAATCTAAACTGCTGTGTAAACCTTCACCAAAAACGCAATAAGATATTATGTTTTGAAATATAAAATAAAAAAAAGTAAAAAAAAAAAATATGTCTCATACGAAATTTTAGCAACATTGAAAGGTCATTGGGTTATCAGTAAGTGATCTTTACCCACATAAACATTCTATAGAATTGCGTGTCATTTTCAGGTCAGTGGACTTAATCCTGTACATTGACAAACACTTATAACCAACTGAAAATTTGTCGCAGGTGAGTTTTTAATGTTTTTGCATCAATTACTTTCAGACTAACCCTATGATTACATCCTTGCCAGCAGCCCAAAAGTGTAATGAATCTGTAACCTCTCTTTGGGGCCCTGGTGGCACAATGGTTAAGTGCTCAGCTGCTAACCAAAAAGTCGAGGGTTTGAACCCACCAGCCACTCCGTAGGAGAAACTATCTGGAGATCTGCTCTGTGAAGATTACAGCCTAGGAAACCCTATGGGGCAGGTCCACTCCATCATGGAGCATTGCTCTGAGTTGAAACTGACTCAACAGCACACAACCACAACATCCTCCCCTAGTAACTCATTCCATGAGAGTATTGTCACTGAGCATTTGTCAACATTTCAACTTTCAAATCTTAAGTTGAACCCTGAGCACATTTCTTGTCCCCATTCTCAGTAGGGATGCAGAACAGATGTTTACCATCTCAAGTACGGTAGTCTTTCATATCTTGAGGGCCAGTTTACATTCCACATGTGTATGTATGTATACAGGAGTCCCTGGGTGGCACAAACGGTTAAGCGTCCAGCTACTAACCAAAAGGTTGGAGGTTCTAGTCCACCCAGAGGCACCTCAGAAGAAAGGTCTGGCAATTTACTTCTGAAAAATCAGTCACTGAAAACCCTATGGAGTACAGATCTACTCTGACATACATGAGGTCTCCATGAGTTGCAATTGACCCAAAGGCAACCGGTATGTGTGTACATTATAGTCATTAACAAAACTTTATTGATATAAAAAATAGAGAAAAGTACTCAAAACATATAAATGTGCAGCTCAGTGATTTATCACAAAACAAATACCTGTGGAACCACCATCTAGGTCGAGAAGCTGAACAATGTCAGCCGGCACCCCAGAAGTTTGCTTTTTGCCCTCCTAATCACTACCTCACTTCCTCTTGATTAGAAAGAACCATTTGGGAACCACGCAATTTGTGATTTTTTTTTTTTGGTATATGGCTTCTTGCTCAACATTATGTTTGATACAGTCACTGCTGTATAATATTCCACTGTGTAATTACACTACTATTTATCTCCTCTACTGTTGATGGACATTTGTGTTACATAGAATGTTTCGGATGATTAATGTTGCAATGGACAAAGCCTTCTTTATATTGCTTGTTCACTCATGCACACATTTCTATTTGTTATAGAACTACAATTAGAATTACTGGCTACCACTCATCTATCGGGGCCCGGGTGGCACAAGTGGCTTGCTATCGACTGCTAACTCAAAGGTTGGCAGTTTGAACCCACCCAGTGGCTCTCTGAAAGAAAGGCCTGGTGAACTACTTCCCTAAAAATTACAACCAAGAAAACTCTATGGAATAGTTCTACTCTGCAACACACGGGATTGCCGCACATCAGGGGCCAACTCGAGGGCAGCTAACAACCCATCTGTCAGTTTGTCCTACTTTCGTGGCTTGTGTGACACTGTGATGCTGGAAAAGAATACCACCAATATTTCAACTATTAGCAGGTCAACCAAACTGGGTAAGTTTCTGTAGATCTTCCAGACTAAGGGAGTCTAGGAAGAAAGGTCTGGTGATCTACTTCTGAAAATTAGCCAATGAAAATTCTATGGATCACAAAAGAAATACTGTTCAACACAGTGCTGGAGGGTAAGCCCCTGGGTTGGAAGGCACTCAAAATACACAGCAAGCATAACAATGGACTTGAGCATACCAATGATCATGAAGATGGCACAGAATCAGGTAACTTTTTATTCTGCTGTACTTGGGGTCATTATGAACAGAAGCCAACTCCACAGCAACTAAGAACACCTACTGGATGATTGGGTGTGTATGTGTTCCACATTACTGTAGTATGCTAAAATACAGTGTTTGTAAAAATTGCATTCTAACAAGCATTCTCTACTTCTTCACCAACACTTTGTATTGTTAGACTTCTTAATATTAGCCATTCTGGTGTGTACTGGTATCACACTGTGACTTTAATACGTACTTTCCTGATTATTATTGAAATTGAACACCTTCTCATGTTAGCAATTTAGCTATCCTTTTCTTGGGAAGTACCTATTGAAGCCTAATGCTCAAGTTTTAATTAGGTTGCCTGCCTTTTTCTTACTGATTTATAGGAGTTATTTACGTGTTTTGAAGATAGATACTTCGTTAGTTATATTAATGTAACATCTGAGGCATCAGGCTCCTTTTCAAATTCTTATTTACCACTTTTGTTTAAATAATTTTGCTAGGTCTTATCAATTTTAAGACTTTCAAAGAACCAACTTTTAACTTTAATCCAGTCTTTGTTGATCTCTCTATTGTGTGTTTTCATTATTTTTTCTCTCCCCTTTATTATTTCCTTACTTCTACTTTTGTGGGGTTGAATTAGCTGTTATGTTTCCCAGTTTCTTGAGATGAATGTAATATAATTGAGTTTCAGCCTTTCCTCTTTATAACACATGCATTTAAGACTATACATATCTATCTCTAAAGCATGGTATTTCCTCTAGCTCACAAGTTTTGATATGGAGTATTTCATAATAATATTTATATATCTTGTAATTCACTTAAATAGTAGTCATACTTCACAGAATTAAAGGTTGTACATGATCTACAGTGTGAATGAAACCAGTATCTCCTTCTTCGCTGTGTGAACTATGTCTCTGAGTCTCAGTTTGCTGATCAGTGAAATGCGGGTAGCCTACTTACCTCAAGGTAGGCACTTGTCAATAGCAGACTCTTGGTAAATAGAATTGCTAGTAGTACAAGGGAACAGGCTAGCTAGCCAGAGAAGAGGGAACACACACCAAAGTGTCTGAGTGGACAAAAGCAAAGGCCAGGGCTGCATAACACTGACATTTTTATTAGAATTCATTTATAACAAATGGAACTTGTGTCAGCAAAGAACTGATTTTCATACAGACTTCTTTCGCCACCAATGTAACGAAGTAAGAAAATAAAAAGCACGCCTTTCATTCTGTAAAACATTTACGCGTACTACTAATTAGAGGTAATTGTATATTTTTTTTAACAAGCCATTTTACAAGTTATTTTTTTTTTTAATTTCTCAGTCTATGCATCCAAAATGAGAGCAAAGAACACAACTGTTATTATCTTTGTAGACACTCCAAGCTTGATGGCAAAGCCACGGAACGGATGGATAGGATGGATCTGTAGCCTTCTGACCTCTGCTGGAGTATCAGGGCACCCATAAACCCAAAGGAAACCAAAACCCCAAAGACAGAAAGAAAAGAGGTTTAAAAATAAAAGGGGTGACTAACAAAGAGCCAAACCAAAAAATTCAACAGGAAAGAAAAAAAATCTACCCATTACCGCAGAATTTTTTCCCCTTTCTGTTTCTATGCTGTGTTGTTTACATACACACAAATGAATTTCTGAAGCAGTTTTTTACACATGGGTTCAAGTAATAACATTATTGGGTGTAGAATCAATAGGGCAGTGCATAGTACAAAGGTATAGAAAGTGCAAAGTTCCCTAGAGGCCCTTCCCTCCCCTGGCTGTCCTTGCCCTTGTCTAACCATGCAAATCATTTTTAAAAAAGAGCTAAAATAAAGTTTTGTACAAATCACTTTTTATATATTTTGATTTTTTTTTTAAACCTTTGTAACTAATTACAAAATTATACATAACTACACGTACATAGGTAAATAATAGCACCGTACTGGTTATGATGATGAAAATAATTGGAAACTTGAACGTTTGTGATCATGGTAGATAAAGACGTTTACCTGGGAAATCAAAACTAGAATGGCTGTACAGAAAACACAACAGAGTGGAATGCACATCAATGACACTAAGGGAGTTAGTTCCAGGAACAGCTCCTGAACAAGGAGGATTTATTTGTCTATGGTATGCATCCCATTCGCGTTCTTGGGATTACTCTCATCGTTCCCTTTGCCAAATGGGCAGTTTTTGTTTCAGGGAGAGAAACTGCTCATTGGCCAACCGTTCCGGTGTGCACCATTCCATCAAGTTCTACATATCCAACATGGCGTGTCTGGATGATGCCATGTCAGTCTGACCCCCTTTGTTCGGCTAAAAGAAAATTACAGCACTGAGTAATCTGGCACTTGGATAAATCTCCAAAAGATACAAACTGAAAGGAAATAACAACAGACCCACATAGTGCACATTCTTCTCTGGTTCTGATGTAGGTTAGAGAGTCTCATTCTGAGGTAGCCTTCTAGATACTTTTTTTTTTTTTTAAGTATTATATATTTTTTTTCTTTTTTCTTTTTCTTTACAAAAGTGCTCAAATACGATGCTTGCAAGTGTTTGGTCTCTTAGATTTCACTCTGCTAGCGATGGGAAAAATGTAGAAAACAAAAGTCCTTCCATGCAGAACATCAATGTAGCTAAAATTAAACCAAAGTAGTGTACCTATACTGAAACCCTTGAAGAGTTCCTTGGCTATTTTAAGGGTTGTTGGAAATCACATAAGAAATGGCAAACTCATACCATCATCCATGGCTTCCTATAGAAATTATGTTGGAAAATTTTGAGGAAATATATATATATGTATGTGTGTATGTGAGTGTGTATGTCTGTTTACTTCCCCTTTTAGAAAAATCCTCATGGAATATCAAAAATATTCCAACGTTGCCAACGATGTTTGCTATTAAAATAAGTTTGGTGCAGTGACTGCATGTTCCAGAGCCGATTTGGAAGGGATAATAAATAAAACAAGTAGCTGTTCCTGATGTTGACAGTTATGGAAGGAAGAAGGGCCCTGATTATCCACGTGCTTTGAGCTGGTACAATACTAACATCCCCGACCTGGTTGAAAACTAGGAATGTGTATTATTGAAAGAGTTTTTGTACATGTGGTAAACAGAATAATGCTTTAATTAGAAGAGTAACTGATATGAGCAACCAATGAAAATACGAACTGAAAGCTAAAAAGAAACGCTATTAAAATCAGGCATCAATTATAAGGCACTCTAAATGCACAACTAAAACCAAAACAAAACCAAGTACAGCATTTCCCAGGAACGCTGTACGCCACAAAATGTTTCTGACCGAACAGAGAAACATGAGTTTGGCTTTGCCCCTGTTACATACCATAAATGCAAATTTCATAGCACATACTATAGACAATATATGGTTGAATACACTTCTTTTTAAACAACTCGATAGCTGATATATTACAACATTCTCCCCTCCTAAAGGGATATGCACTGACCTTTCCCACATGCACACCTCTTAGATACTGAATAATTGTTTATTGCACTACAGTGTTACAAATATTGGACTTTGTTGGAAGCCTGGCTAACAAAATATTATTTGTGAGTACGACTGAGGGGGGGATTGGGTAGGAAATTAGGGGGGTGAGGTTTGACAATCACTGATGTGCATTCCTCATTTCCCTTAAAAAAAATTAAAGTTTTGTGATATTAAGAAATACCAATACGCCATAAAATTCATGATAAATTGAAAGAGATGTTTACCATAGCTTTTCTAGTTTAAAAAAAATTAAATCATGGAAGAAGTGAATGATAGCTATATCTATCTTTTTGTATGGATACACTGTCTATATATACATAAACACCCTCATAAAATACGGATATCTATGTATATATGCTAGCAGCAACTTTATACTTTGCGCCTCCCTGTTGATTCCAAAACCAAAACAAAACAAAATTCTCTTTGATTATTTGAAGAGAATGGGTATTTTCTTACCAATCAAAACCAAACAGAAGTGAAAAATATCTGACGAGACGGATACTGTAGATTAAGAGTATTGCACAAAAATGTGCAACTTTTCAAATGATTTGATATTTCTACAGTGAGACATTACAGATAACAGTTCTACAGCTTAAAAAAAACCTACAATTTGGAAATAAAAAAATGAAGAGTTATGTAACTTTTTAAAATTCACTTTATCGAATGATACATTTTGTTAAAAAAAAGTTTACACAGTTAAAAATGAAGCACAGGTCAGCAGTATCTTTACAATACTAAAAAACTAAATCAAGGACTTTCTTTTTAAACATTCCCCCACCCCACCCCCCCAGTTCCCCCTAAAACGTTATTATGAGCAGTATGGTGGGAAGGGGCGATGTCGAAGCAGAGTCCACTTTATTGTGAGAAGCCATACTAGCAAACATCTTGCACTGAACTGCAACATTCTGGCAATTTCTTGCACCTATCCAGCAATCCTGAACAAGATGGTGGTTCTTTGCTGTGATTTCTTCTTCCCTTTATTTTGAATCCTTGAGGTATCTGTAAATAAAATCCTTCAGATGCCTCACCAGTCAGGATCCTCTTTATTATTGTCAGGTTAGATTATTAAACTTGAATTCTTGGTCCACCTGGAATAGTTTGTTTTTAATTTGTTCTGTGTGTAATAGTCCCACTAAGTGGTTGTTAGCTAGAAGTTAAGAAGGACTTCTCAAGTGCCCCATATGGCTCAGAAGAGACTCCATGGATACTGAAGGGCCTGCAGTTAAAATCCAGAATGGGTCGGGGGTTTCTACGTTGCATAGTGATCAAAGCTGCCCAGGTACTCTAGTGCGGCTCGGTAGCAGAACTGATACTGATCCTGCAGAAGACAAAGGAAGAAAAAGGAGAAGGGAACATGAGTATATTTTAATAGAAAAATGAACATCAATCCTGGAAAACAAAGTTTCATCTACATGGGCAAAATCACTGCGTTTACCCATCCATTCAATCCAATGACCAGTTGGCTTTAGTGAGCAAAGAACAATTAGCCCCATGGGGTGTTTCTCAACTTCACCAATCAATTCGACTAAACTAGTCTGCGAACTCCAGGTAGGGAACAGCTTGAGTGAACATTATCTTCCAGATATGTACGAACTGTCCTGAGTAGCATCAAACAATTACCACCAACAGAACACACAGTCGTAGCCATCTTTTATGAAGATATGCCATAGTCATCTTTTACTATTATCTGCTTTTTGTGATGACTGACTAATTCTCAGTTTGCAGCTCTAGGAGAGCATACTGCAGACACACACTATTCTGAAAATCTGAATTCATTTATCTTCTGGGCTACTGCCAACAGATTCTGAATTTAAAAAAAAAAATATTCTATAATCAGACAGTACAGCTTTGGTGCCTATGATCAGAATTACCCACCATCACTTGTGATGTTCATATAGAAATGAGAGAGATGACCACAGAGTAGCTGGTAAGGAACACAAGCACACAAAACCATTTAAACAGGGTGCTGGACGTGCAAGCTTTTCATCCCCTGAAAAGGGCTATTAAAATCAGATTGCCTGTGCACATCAAAAAATGCTCTTGCCATTTTGCCTAATTTAATGTGACTACTAGTTGTCTGTTCTAGAAAAGCCCACATTAAAAATAAAAACGGCGTGAAACAGCCCTTTTTTTAGACAGGGAAGAACTCTGCCACTGGAATAAGCCAGAGCATTGTTGGAGAGATGGAAAAATTACAATGTACAGAGGACTATAGGGATAAGAAAAAGTAGGATTTTCCCCATAAAAGAAACTTATTTTCAGTAGCCAATGGGGCTGAAAGTAGATAGTTTCTATTTTGCTTAAATGTACATTTTTCTACAATAAAAATGGTAATGCCAAATAAATGGAGTTTACTTTCCTATCTTGTCACAGTATGTTGCTTGGCTAAGTGTTAAAGACTTTTTTTAATGTCCAATTTCCCTCTGCCACCCCCTATAGCCATTAAGTTTGTCAGGCTGACATAATGTTTTAAGTATGCGCCCATAATGTCCACTCAGGCAAAGTCCTACCACATACTCGTCCATGATCTCCTAAGTTCAGAAACGGCAATCAGAAAACGTGACGTAGCAGAAATAATCAGACACAGAGAATGCTGACAGCTTCCCACATGCAATGCAAGTATCTCATATCTCTTGTAGAGAAAGTGACTGCGTTGCCAGGCATATATTGGTACAGCACATAAAAAACGTTAAAGAAACACTTCTAGATACACTAAAACATCTTTTAACATAATAATACAGTAATAATAATAATGCTAATGTTCTGATGTGTGTTGCAAAGTAGCGCCTGTTCGTTATTACAGCCCACTGTATGCACCTCAAATTTTTAATATAAGAGGCTTTATGGGAGTTGGTTTGTAACTACGGGTTGTACGTAAGTCAGACATTTGTAAACCCAGGGACTTTCTGTACATAATATAGTGTTCACACAACGTCCCAATCACATAACGTCCTAATTCACAGAACATACTGTGGATGTTAAGCGACGTGTGACAGTATTGCAAGTCAAATGCTCGCATTATTTTGAGATCAAATTCTGGAAGATACTGTGGGTGATGAATTTAGGAACACATATGATCGTGTAATTTGGTGACCTTTCAAGGAACATAAATACTATCTATTACTCATGCTAGTCTTCATAATGAATGGCCAATAGACCAGCCTGGCTAAATCATGAACTCACAGTATTCTAAAGAAACATAAGAATTTCACATCAATTATTGGAATAGAAAGTGGAGGGCTAATTTCTCTAGGGCTTATCCAGGATCGAAATATTAAAAACGATGGATGTCGAGGAATAAAATATACAGCAGATGAAATCTAACAACTAGGCATACAGAAAGGGGAAGGAGAGTTAAAATGGGCTGAGGTTCTACTATGTGCTAGGCATTGTACTTTATATATTTAGGTTGGACTATATGAAATGGCCACTTGCATAGGTCAGAATGGTCCAATATGAAAAATTTAACATGGTTCCACCTAATATATAATCTCATGTAATTTCCACAATAACCCTAAGACATTGATACTGCCATCCTATTTAAAGAGAGGGAAAATGAGGTCCAAAAGTATTAAATCATCTCGTTTTCCCATAGCATTTTGCCTCTGGTGTTGAGAATCCCTGGATTTTAGCAGGTCTTGTCCAGTAAAATCTGTTATTTGGCTCTTGAGGTGTGACACACAGACTCATGGGGGGTTTTCTTACCTCTGTCTGTACCATGGCTGGTCGTTGAGTTCTTAACATTTTGACGGTCTGGAAGATATCTACAACGCCTTCGTATCTCATTCTTTCCAAAACAATGCTTAATGTTATGAAGACTCCAGTTCTTCCAACGCCCGCACTGCGACGATATCAAAGACAACGGGATTAGATGAGAAGCTTATAGTGTTGACCACATTTGCATAGAGGTGGGCATACTCCCATCAGCTTCCACATTATATCATATTCCTCTGCAGCAATGTTCAGGAGACTGTGGCATTAATTTCACTAAATGATTACTCTTAGGATAATGTGTACTGATAACATGTTCAGAATGAGTAATAGGATGAAGTTTTATAAAATAAAATGACTTTTTATCTGAGGTTATAAGCCATTCTGGAAAGAGCCAGAAAACATAAATCTTATAAAATAAAGGGATAAAGGTAAGGGTAAATATAGGTTTATATTATTCATGCAGATCTTGAAATTTCAGACGTTGCCTATTCAATATTTTTACAGTATGAAATAATTCAGAATAAGGTGAAGTAAATTGGGCATCTTCAACTTTTCACATGCATTATCTACTTCTTGTAGTCACTTAAAAATCTGTACAGGATGTGCCATCACCCAGACATAGACATAAATATCCAGACACATAGATTATTCAAATTTAGACATTGGTTTTGATAAGAGACGAGATTCTATATCGGGGTTTTTTACTATGGGGTCCACACTCAGTCTTCAGGGAGGGGGAAGAGGTCTATGAATATCCTGTAAGTTTATGTAAAGATTTTTGTACACGTGTTTTTTTTTTCCTAGAAGAGGGAACTTCCAACAGATTCTCAAAGGGGTCTCTAACTTAAAAAAACAATGGCTAAGAGCCACTGAGCTTATCTATTCTATTCAGATGTTCAGGAGGTAAAACATCAGGATTCTTTCCACCACATTAGTAAGAGTTTCTCTCTTTGTTTTTTCTTTATTGTCTTAAGACGATTCCAGAATCTTTGCAGCAGCAAGAGAAGGAAATTAATTCATAGCTCTTGCGCTCTTAAGAAGTAGGAAAGCATCTGGAGGTTTAGGTAATGAGGAAAACAGTGGATAATCTGAAAAATCCCTACCCTTTTGGATCCTAATTAAATAGCATGTGTAACGCTTGGGCACCGTCTGTAGAAAATTGATGGATTCATTTACTTGCGGATGTAGCTGACAGGCATATATAAATAGTGTGGCATCCCTTTATGAACTGACATTTCTACAGAGTCAAAACAGAAATGGTAAGTGAAGCTTTAAAATCCACTGGCCGTCTTTAAAAAGGGGTTGAGGGTGTCCAGCAGCAGTCGAGGCTCTCCGTGAAGACGAAGTAGATGGCCTTGAAGGTCCCTTACAACCTTGAAAGCCTCCCTTAATCCTGAGAGACTGTGATTTATGATCCTTTTATTGAATGGTCCAGGGACTCCGAAGTCTATCGCACTTTGATTTGATTGCTCTAATGTAACAAAAATATAGTATTTTCTGGCTTCTTACTAAGTACTTTGAAGAAAAGAATTTATTGACTTTATCATGTTAGTTTAACAAGGTATATGTTTTAAAAAAAGTGGTATATTCATGATATTCCCAGATAGGAGAAAATATCTAGAAATCTTTAAGATATATATGCAATATATGAGCAACATATCATAATACTTATACTAACCAAAAAAAATCAAACCCATTGCTGTCGAGTCCATTCCGACTCCCAGTGACCCTATACGACAGAGTAGAACTGCCCCATAGGATTTCCAAGGAGCAGCTGGTGGATTCAAAATGCCAAACTTTTGGTTAGCAGCCATAACTCTTAACCACTACGCCACCAGGGTTTCCAATACTTATACTAGGGAGTGTTTAAATTACTGATGACAAAGGCAGGGAGAAGTCACACACACATATACTTCTACACTGATACTTACGCTGACAATGCCTAAAGTTAAGAATACATATTAAATTAGAAAATTTCTTTTCCTTACAGCAAGCATTAGCATTTGGATTAGGATTTGGGCAAATTATGTGGAAAATTAAGGGAAATATCCAGATAATACAAGCCCAATATGTACCCTCCACTTTGTCTAAATATTTGAGTATATGTGTCATTTTCCACATGCTCTTTGATTGTATAGAGCAAAGGATCTTGGATAACTAAACACAAGGCAGATATGTCTAAGTCAGATCTGTTTCTCCTATAATACACTATGCCTAGGAAATAGAGGCTGCTGGAAACGATGCTAAAGATCTTCTAAAAAACTGAGGTCCAGAGAGATGTCCCTATGGTCATATAGCTACATGATAGTAAAAGCAGGCCTAGAACTTCGATATTTTAAAGTTCATGTCACTAAGAATGATAGTGTTTTTTTTTTTAAGCAAAATGATTTTTTTAATAAACTTCCAAAATTTCAGATCATAACGAGACTTCAAGTTGCTAGAAACCTAAAATATATTAGGTTAAATAAAGTTAGGTGAATTCTTTTTGCAGGAAGGTTTTTGCATAGCAATTTCCAAAAGCACTACATTTATGGTGAATATCCTTTATGAACCATTTACTTGCTATTTCTATTAACTTCAATGACTTGAATTATAAAATGCTCTGGACACTATTGAAAATAATAAACTTGAAGGTGCTTCATTTTCTGATACAGCAACAATTTCCAAGCAAATTGCAGTTTTAACTGAGGTACCATTGTAATCACTTATTGACTGGCAAGAATTAGTATTGTCATTAAGGCTTGATAGGTATTTATGGTTTTCCCAAGAAGACAAAGGCAGGAGAAAGACAGAGAAAGATACTTAGCAGTGCTATTCTATGAAAACAAAATGAGTAAGAAATGATTAACAGAACCAGTTATCATCAGGGAGGTACCAACAATTCCTGTTAAGATAAAATTGGCATGGAAAACCAAATTTACAAAAAGTAAATTTTAGAGATAAAAATCTTCCTCTGGTTATTTTCATTTTATGGAAAGAAAGAGAAATGAGTTCTTGCTTTAGGTTTTACAATACATCTCGGAGGATACAATTTCATTTATGGATACTCACTAAAACAAGCTTGTATAGTGGATGAACAGACGACAACACTTATTTTCAAAAGTTATCATGACTTTAATCACAAATGGAAACTCTTATCATTCCTGATTCTGAACTCACCTGCAATGGACTGAAATGGGTCCGTCTTGGCCAAACTGCTCCTTTGTTTTATGGACTTGGCCGATGAAGTCAATAAATCCTTCTCCAGACTTTGGCACTCCTTGCTCTGGCCAATCAGTGAACTGGAACTGCCTTACTGTTCGGGACTGGCCGTCCTTTAAGGGGAACGCCACATACCCGGCCACAAACAAAGACGCCAGGAGGATTCAGCCATTGCAGAGGACACAGAAGCAATCACGATGTTATTACAAAAAGAAAGCAAAAAGGCCAGAAAAAATCAGAGACATGTTTAATTTGAAACTTCATATTATCATCATACTGTTAGGTTTATGGAGCCCTGGTGAAGCAGTGGTTAAGTGCTCGGCTGCTAACTGAAAGGTCTGCAGTTTGAATCCACCAGCTGCTCCTTGGAAACCCTATGGGGCAGCTCTACTCTGTCCTACAGGGTCACTATGAGTTGGACTCAACTCGACAGCAATGGGTTTGGTTTTTTGGTTAGGTTTGTCTTATCTGCAATTAATGTGATTTACATTCACCTAAGAATTCCCCTGGTGGCGCAAACGGTTAACGTGCTCAGTGCTAACCAAAAGATGGGTGGCTTGCATCTACCCGGAGGTGCCTGGGAAGAAAGGCCTGGTGATCTACTTCCAAAAAATCAGCCATTGAAAACCCTACGGTGCATGGTTCTATTCTGACATACATGGGGTGTCCATGAGGTCGGAACTGCCTGGAAGGCAACTGGTTATATTAACATGTATTTAAACGGCAAACTCATTTGTTCTCACAATGTCCAATTTCCATGTAGTCAATCGCCATTGAGTTCCCATATTAGGAAATGCTCCTGAGAGCCCAAATTTAGGTTTAAAACCATTGACCATGCTCCCATTCTCTCCAAAGTGGCACATATATACTCTATTTCAAAAATTTCAGGATTGAATGACTTCTTAATATGGAAAGGAGCACCCAGGCATGTCATCTGGACCAGAGAATTTGCTGTTATCAAGATAACATCACATCAGCTGTGCTTGCTGATTTCCAGCATTGTCAAGTGACAAATGGTGACATTTAAAGAATGTGACACAAATCAGGTAGTTGCTGTTAACCTGGATGTCCCGCATGTCTCAAAGGCATGCGATTTCTAGCCAAGCCCTGGGACACAGCATGTGCCATGTGACGATGCTGTAAAGCAGGAAGTGAGGCATCCCTCGAGGACACCGAAGAGATCATTAGCAAAAAAGCTCCCTGTTATGAAAGAAGACTCTTCTTCCTCGCTGACTCCAGGAATTAAGAATGCTCTGGGGGCTTAGAACGCAGACAAACCAACGGCAGGAAGAAAACAACCCAGATGCAAGGGGAGTCTTTCTTTCCTCAGCTAAAATGCTCTGACTTGAGAAGTAGAAACGATTTGAAAAGAAGTTACCAAGGCTGCTTCTGATTCCTCTTAGAATTTTAAAACATTTTTGGAAGCAAAACAAATGCAGGAGGAACTCTGTTTATAGACTCAAGGATAACAATTATACCCATCAGTTTTCTCCCCTGACTCATCAGAAAAACAAACAAACCAACCCGCTGCCATCAAGCTGATTCTGACTCATGGTGACCTCATTTGTTACAGAGTAGAACTGAGCTCCATAGGGAATTGTGGGCTGTCATCTTCACGGAAGCAGTTGTCAGGCCTTTCTTCCGCAGTGCTGAGGGGTAGATTTGAACCACCAACCTTTTGGTTAGTAGCCAAGTGCAAACCATTTGAACTACCCAGCGACTTATCAGAGAGAGAGAGACATTTCCAGACTCTGAGCCTAGGGACACTAATCCCATTTGCTGGCAGAGGCTCTGCTCCAAATACAGGCTTCCACTTGTTCATCCCTTCCATTTTGTCATGACTGTTTCTCCTATTAAAGTTCCTTTGGTACAGGGGTGCATGTTCCCAAGATTCCGGGTAAGCGTGGGTGGACTCGCGCTTTCTCACTCGGTCATACTGAGAAGAGGGGGCAGCTTAGAATGAGATGGCTACCCATCCACCAGCCTGGCAGTTTCCACAGGAACAAGCCTATGCCTGACTGGCATCACTTGGGGATGGGAATAACACAGGAAGATCATGTTGACTGAGTAAGAACATTGAAGAGAATGGAAATAACGGCTTGGCCCTACAACTAACCTATGGCTGGTTACCATGGCAGCATGATTTAGTTGCCTCTGTTTCTAGAAAAGGGTTAGAAAGCACAGGAAGGGAGGCCAGCGGCTAGGTAAGGCGTATTTGTTCTCTTCCACATGTCCTGGGGTTCACTTCTGACCACAGTTGCCTTTAACAGCAACAAGGACTCATGTGCACAAACCCTTACTAGTTGGAGGAGAGACCACCTGACTCCACGTAAAGGTTACCTGTTTAACTATACTGTATTCGCAAGCGCAAACTCGCTTTCTGAACTGCAAAGCTGAGATCAGAAACACACCAGGAGCACAAACAGGAAGTGCCCTGGTAGCTAAGAAAATCATACCATTTTTTAAGAACATGTGAGCAAGTTCCTGTTTCAGTCTTTCTTTTGCTTCTTGTGATCAGATTTCACTTGGGTGTGTTCTTGTTGTTAGCTGTGGTCGAGTTAATTCCTATTCATGGCGACCCCATGTAGGCAGAGTACAACTGCTCCACGGGGTTTTCAAGGCCGCGACCTTTCAGAAGTAGATTGCCAGGCCTGGCTCCAGAGCTGCCTCTGGGTGGGTTCGAACTGCCAACCTTTCGGCTAACTAGTGGAGCACTTAACCGTCACACCCAGGGACTCCACTTTGGGTATGTGGGGTATAGCAAAGAACGTGGCTCCACCATTTGTGGAGCCTGGCGACTAGTCTTTATCATCAGAAATGGTTGGTGAGTTTGCGTTAAATGCATGTAGGATTCTCACTCACATACCTAGCTTCAGATTCTGAAAGGGCATGACTTATTTTTTTAACAATGAATGGGGTGGGTCACCAAGGCGTGCTTGCTTTGGCAACTCACAAATGAGAGTTAGAGACTTAACTGCTGCCTTGAGGACAGTCACCTTCAGAGTAGTTAAGACTTCAGACTTTCTGGGATTAACAGGTCTGTCACCTGGGCCAGCCAGACTGCTAACCAATTTCTCTTTCACTTTAGGTCAACAGCCTGGACTAGACTTTGGGGATTAGAAAACAATCTTCAAACATGAGCCTTGGTCGAGAAAGTTGCTTTCCAGAAAAAACAATGGATCAAATAAATAGCTCTACCCTGGAGTTTTATTCAACCCACCCACTGTGACAGTTCCAGAAACAAAGCAGGGCTTTGCACTGACCCCCACACTCCCCGAAGATGTGTTTGTAATCACAGTTTGGAAGTGGCCAAAGGCAAGGATATTAAAGTTTATGCACAGAATGTCTTACATCAGGGCTGAACCATGGGCTCAGCAATCTAGATAAGACATGCAGAATGAAAATTAGCCAACAAGGGTCATGGGTGCACAGCTCTCATGGACAGACACATTAGCACACCAAGGAATAAACCATGCCAGGAATCAAATTAGAATGTGCAAAGCTTGTCAGATTCTTCTAAAGAATGCCATTTGCTCGGCAGTTTTCAAATCAGACCAAATTAACTTTCAAGCCCACATGACCTAAAGGGCTTTGCAAAACAACAACATATTTACAACTTCAAGTAATGAAGAAGTCAAAAAACCTCCAAAGAGAACGGGCTGAGAAGGTGAGTTGTAAGCACAGCCAACCAATCAGGAAATGCTTCCCAGCACAAACACTCACCAAGTGCATCCCCAAAGTTGGACTACCAGATGTTAAGCTTGAATACGAGCCAAACCTGGGTTTGCGAGGATGCTTGCCAGACAGAGGAAAAGCTACTCTTCTAATCAAAAAAAAGTCCTCTAGGATGATGGGTTTGTTTTCTCTTTGGGAGGAGGGTCACTTGGTAAATGTTTCTCCCAGGGGTGCATTTTGGATTACTTTTCAGATAATGACTAAGATTATAAGTTGGTACCAACTTACCCTGGCATCTGTGACCTTGAATTCCCTTAGGATATACTGTGGCATGTTGTACTCAGCCATGGGGTCTACAACAAAGTACTGGTATCTCGCAGACCGTTCTGCTGGCCAGTACTGATGACATTTTTCCTAAAAGGAGAGAAGATGAATGTTAAACTAGACAAAGTATCAATAAGATTTTATCAATCACCTACCTACCTATCTACCTACCTACTACCTACCTCTTGATCTATCATCTATCTATTTTCCTTTTCTCATTAACAAAATTTCAAAACTCAAGGCAATTTCAATTACATGGGACTCACTTCTCTTTGAGACTGTAGGCTTCCTCAGTAGGAAGAGAGAAACTGTCTGGTTCAATATTTGCCCAAGGTGTCAAGTGCAGTTCCTGGCACATAACCCACCAACCCCTTGCTGTTGAGTTGATTCTGACTTGTGCTCATCCCATGCGTGTCAGAGTAGAACTGTGCTCCATAGGGTTTTCAATGGCTGATTTTTTGGAAGTAGATCACCAGGCCTTTCTTTGGAGGTACCTCTGGGTGGACTTGAACCCCCAACCTTTTGGTTAGCAGCCTAGCGGTTAGCCATTTGCGCCACCCAAGGACTCTACCTGGCACAGAGTAGGTGCTTAATGCACAGCAGTTGAATTGAACACTATTAGAGGATAAGTGACTTTATACCTATGAGTTATCCAAACAATTCTATCACTCTTTGCACACACTGCTGGTCACGCCAGTCAGGAACTGACAATCACAGTAAACTTAAGCCATCATGGTTTGGAATGAAGAGAACCATCAAGCATTAATGCAAAAAGAAACCTCTGAGCTGATCTGGTCCAACTTCATTCAGTGGCTGAGGAGACCAGAGCCTAGGCGGTTTCAGTGACGTGACCTAAACCCCACAGAAAGTCAGCAACCAAATCAGAAGAGTCGGCTACTTTCCTAGTCTGGTATTCTTATCGCTCTCTCTGTGGGTTCTAAAAGTTGGGTTTTCACTGCATCTCTAACATTTAATTTCTGTAAAGAACAGTGAGACAGAATACTTTAGGCAAAGATGGCAAAATGCTACCATTTCAAACTCCTGAAGGTATTACTCTGAGATAATCTGTAAACCTTGAACCAAAAATATCTCAAGTCTTTAAACCAAAGAATAGTTTAGCTTAATTAGTAAAGAATGTCTGCCTTGAGCACTGTGCTCTTTTAAGGAACTATCTATATGGGGTCAAATCGACAACAGCAACTTGAAAGGTTAGATGGAAAGCTTAGGGTGCAATGAGTTTATGTTAATGAGAGGAGTAATTCAGAAAAGGTGGGTGAGAGTGGTTGCACAGCTCGAAGAATGTAATCAGTCACTGAACCGTACATGTAGGAACTGTTGAATTGGTATATGTTCTGCTGTGTATATGTTCTACAATGACAGAAATAAATTTTTAAAAACAAAAAACGAAGTGACTTTGTAAATTAGAAACCAACAAAAAGCAGGGGCCCAGATTGTGCCCAGAACAGTCTGCATCTTAAAGAAATGACGATGGCGCTTGGGTTATTGCAATGAAATCCCCATTCCTCCATGGAGTGAGTGTCTTAGGGAGAAAACACACTTAAAAGCATAGCACACTTACTCTGCCCATTTCACGCAGCTTGGTGAGCATCACGACGATGGTGGAATTGTGTTCCCAGAGCATGCGCCAGAAGTCCTCTGTGGTCTCTGCCAAGGGTCCCTGGGTAGCGATGTAGGCTTTCTGTTGTCTGAATTACAGGGAATAAAAAGAGCATGTGAAAGTACCCAGAGGCCAGACTCATGTTTGGGATGTAAACAGCAACCCATTAATAAAAAATTAAAATATACTATTAATACAATTGCAATCAATTCCCTTGAAGGCTGCTTAATCAAACCATAACATTTAAAACATTTTGGAGGCTTTGCAAAAGAAATTGCTTTGTTAATATCATGATGTATATCCTTATCATTACTATTTAAATTTCAGTGCAACGCTAATAGCTCAATTTCACGTGCCACACAAACCATTTAAGAAACACTTAGTTGTGCAGCTCCGTTTTCTAGAAATGACTCTCACACAATCTACTAAATTTATGAAATGTGTTACAAAACAATTTCTTTATTACCCCTTCCACATCCAAATGGCTTCTGAAAGCCGAGTGCCAGGCCAGATCAAAAACCCTGTGAGCGTCGCTTCTTCCTCCTATCCAAAGTAATAAAAAGCAAATACCCAGAGACTGAAAGCTGACCCATGCAGAAAGAAAATGGCTTTGAATTGAGATGAAATTCATTCTGGTTATGAAACTAGGGCGCATGTAAATATCAAAGCTCCGGGCTGTCAGCGGAGCAAGTGTATATACCTGTATCCATCAATGAAGCTGGCATTGATGTAATCGGATCCTTCTACTCCTCGGATAGGCTGCAGGCATACCCTTGTGGATTCATATGGCATAATATTAACAAGGCGATTTTTGAATTTATTACATGGAAGATTGGCACTGATGAATCTTGAGGTGTGAGCTTTAGAGCTGGCTAGACGCTGTTGAATGAAGGAAAGGAAAAATCCAACAAAGATAGTTTTAGCTTTTTGTTTGAGCGCAACACCCCCAAGATTTCCCTTCAGACTAAATCTTTTGTTTACTTTGGAGTGAATGACTATTCAAACTGCTCTGCTTTTCACTTCTTCCTAATGTCTCCATATAGCCTACGGAATTTTTAAATATTATGTCCCGTGAGTGGGATCTCTCCATTTACATTCAGATACAAAAGAGCTCAAGGTATTGTCAAGAAGTAAAGAGGAGGAGGGAAAGAGGAAGAAAGTGCTTTGTAACTGAAGACTTGAGAAGGTCAAGCGAATCTTTATATATACATAGACATAGATTTTATTTTACAGAATCAGCTTGTCATTAAACAATTAGCACACATATGGCTTTGTGATATTGGTTACCAACCCCAGGACACTTCAACACTCTCCCTTCTCAACCTTGGGTTTTCCACTGGCCACCTCCCTGTCTCCTCTAGTCCTTCTAGTCCTTGTCCCTGGGCCGCTGTGCCCCTTTAGTCTGGTTGGTCAAGTGAATCTTGTCCTTTGTTTTGCAAAGATCAAAGGTTAGGAAAGTAAAGGCGCTCCTCAGAGAAGATCCCTGAATGACTCCCTCCTCAGTGAGAACACTGCATCCAATGCCCTACCTTAAATTCAAGCTCCATTCCTGTGACATTCTCTCCCGTTTCTATCTGTGTCAGCTTCTGAATGTAGGCATACAAGTTTCTGGCTGGCACTTCGGTATTTCCACAGGTCACTGCTTCTAACAGCGCATCGTGGATAAAGATGTACTGGTCTTCTGTTTGAACCATGTAATTCCTCTGGGCTCTCATTAAAGTTACATGGCCATAAATATCTACAGTTTTTTCATGCTTTATTCTTTCTAGCATGGCATCTATTACAATGAAACAACCGGTCCGGCCAACTCCCGCACTGTAAGGGAAACAGAAAAGTCCAAATCAGCCCAGCAGGAAACCAACCCGTAATAATATTATTTTGATAACTTATATTAATTGCTTTTACACCAATTGTTGTTGCTGTTAGGTGTCACTGAGTCGACTCTCACTCATGGCGACCTTATGTAACACAGAATGAAACCCTGTCTGGCCCCGTGCCATCCTTATAATCACTGCTATGTTTGAGCCCACTGTGGCAGCCACTGTGTCAATCCATCTATTTAAGGGTCTCTTTTTTCTGACCCTACGCTTTACCAAGTATGATATCATTCTACTCAAATAGCTATTGTGATGATTTTGGAGCACTCTGAAGTCAAAAGCATTATCAAGTCAACATAATCAGACTATACGGAACAAAACGCTGAGCAAAATTAATTTGGTTTCAAACGTACAACTATTAATTACTATGCTCTTTAATCATGCAATACAACATGGATATTATTTTGAAAACAATATGAAAAAATACAAAACGCTGTTCCTATTTAGAAGGTATATAAAAATATAGATCAAGATCTAACTAGGCTGTATTTTTTTGCAAACTCAGTCTACTTCGGTTCAATTTACAAAGAAAAATCTAGTAAATCACTCACCTTGAAACTTTTCATATTATAAAACTCAGCAAAGAAGTTCTAAAACCAACTTAGTGGGAAGTGTATAATTAAAATATTAAAATGTTGCATGCTAAAAATAGCACCGGGTATTCTCAATGGAAAGAAATACTTAGTAAGAAGCCATCGCTAGGTAGTGTGGGTGTGCTTCCTGTTCTGACTCCCTTTCCTTTTAGAGTTGAATGCATTTTAAAATGCCAGGTGAAATTCAAGTATTCTGTGGGGGAAAAGAAAAGCCTCAATCTTTGTTACTGAAAAAGCTCTGAGGCGTTTTTAAACTCCATTACTTCTGGACTTATGGGTCATTTTCCAGTTGGTGGAAAGTGATTCAAAGGAGAGGCGGTGAGAGTCGGCAGAGCACCATGGCTGGACAATATCTGCAGTTCCAAGGAGACAATCTAATTTACTGAACTGGATTACAAAGGCAGGTGGTTGAAATACTGGAATTTCCCTGAGTGTTGAAAAGAATACTAAGAAAATAACACATCTGTGTCCTTACAATCTCAAGATAAGCCTGAGAGTTTACAATTTATCAAACACTTCAGGCTTAGTCCATTTATGTGTCAAGTATGGTTCAATCCAAAACATTTTTCTCCTCCTTATCATGGGATGTTTGCCTGGCTGGTAAACATTTAATCAAGACGAAAAGGTATCTATTACCACCTTAGGGACCAAGCAACAGTCTCTCATTCAATACATGGCACAATTTTTCCTGTCATTTGTGTATCTGTCATCTGTCTGTCCATCTGTCCATCCATCTGTTCATATACCACCCACCCCCGCACCCATCCCTTCATCTCTTCATTCAGTGAACAATGAAGTACTTTGCTAAGTGAAATGAGCGATACAACAAACAAGGTGACTTGGATCCAATCTTATTATGGACTGAATTAGGTCCCCCCAAAGTATGTGTTGAAATCCTTATCCTTATACCTATGGATGGAATCCTGTCTGGAAATAAGGCTTTCTTTGTTGTGCTAATGAAGCCCTATCAGTGTAAGGGTGTGTCGTAAGCCTAATCACTTGTGAGTCATAAGGAGCAGCATAGACACAGCCAAGTGAGTAGATACGGGAGGGGACAGTCTATCTAATGGCGATGCAGGCGGATGAATCTACAAGCCCCGGAACTCAAAGGGCTCCAGCTTCTAGAAGCTGAAACAGACAAGCAAGGACCTCCCTCTACAGCCACTGATGAATTTGAACTTCTAGCCTCCTGAACTATGAGAAATTTGTTTTTTAAAGCCACCCACTTGTGGTATTTCTGCTACAAACCTTTAAAGAGCTTAGACTCTATCAAGGGAGATAATATTTTTACGTAAATATAATACGTCATTTTGTGGATGACGTAGTATTTGAACAGGGACTTGAAGGACAGGGAATTTGGGAAGCTGGAACAACAAAAGAGAAGAAACGGCTTTTATCATCATACTGCTGGCTCTGAGAACGACTTGTGAAACTTTTCATCAACCTGGTGGGGCACTTGTGTAAGGAATATACCAGAACTCCAAACTGAGTGAGTTTAATGTGCACCAGGGAGCCTGTCTCAACTGAAATGTCAAGTCCTCTCTGGCGAGTCGCTGCAAAGTAGTAGGAGAGTTTTTTTTGTAACAAAACAATATCTTTATTGAACTACTGAACAGTACAGGGAGCCCTGGTGGCTCAGTGGTCAAGAGCTAGGTTGCTAACCAAAAGGTCGGCAGTTCAAATCTACCAGGCACTCCTTGGAAACTCTATGGGGCAGTTCTTCTCTGTCCTGTAAGGTTGCTATGAGTTGGAATTGACTTGACGGCAATGGGTTTGGTTTCTTTGGTTTGAACAGTGTAGATCATAGGCACCCTCCATACAGCAGCCCTGTGATTTGTGGTCAAGGTTAAGCAGGAATTTCATATAACCACTATTTTAAAATTGCTTACTTTTATATGTCCTGTACCAGTGGGCCTCTGGATACTGATTCTGAGACTCCATTCACGATCTTAACCCATTAACTGAGATGACACTGAGATGTCAGGCAAAAGCCTTCTGGGAAAAAGCCTTAGAAATGATGGCACCTGCCTCAGCATGGAACCAATCAGAAACCCACTGCATGCATTAATACATGGCTCTGCTGGGGTTCCAATGCTGGTGGTTCCAATGCATAGGGTACCATTTTGTTTAGTTTGTTCTACTAAACACACATGCCAGATGGCAACTCTGCCCTGATACTCTCTTCCCCCAGGCAGGGTTAATCCCCCTTCACCCCAGTCTCAGTCTCATCGCCCATCTGTCACTTTGTCTACTGTCGGGGCTTGCGCGTTGCTATGATGCTGGAAGCTATTCGCTAATATTTCAAATACCAGCAGGGTCACTCATGCTGGATAGGTTTCAGTGAAGTTTCCAGACTAAGACTAGGAAGAAAGGCCTAGCGATCTAATTTAGACAATTAGCCAATGAAAACCTTACAGATCATAACAGAATCTTGTCTGATATAGTGATGGAAGATGAACCCCTTAGGTTGGAAGGCACTCAAAGTATACAGTAGCCACAACTATGGAGTCTAGCATACCAATGATTGTGAAGATGGCACAGGACTGGCCAACATTTCCTTCTGTTATATATATAAGGTCTCCGTGAGCCAGAGCCAACTTGACAGCCACTAACAACACAGACCCAGTTGCATATTATTATTAATTAATCTGGTGGGGATGCCTGCGGTAAGTAATAGTGTAGATCTTGAGAGCAGGAACTGCATTTTTTAGTCATCTGTGTGTGCCCTTCACCAAAAACATGCAATGAGTGCTCAATAACATTTGTGGTAATAAGTGAGTGATTTAGGGATCGGCGTGAGAGGCCAAATACAATGAGCAGCTCATCCAGGTAAGGTAAGCCTACTCAGGAACCAGGACTCTTCGGTTACTCAAAGAAATTCTACATTTGACAAAGAGCTGGATGGATGCAGGCAATGTATGACGATGGCTATGCTTGCTAGGGAGTAGGGAAACAGGAAAAATGCTTTGCTTAGACTTGGTGTCTTGGTCTCCTGAGAGAAGCATCGCATTGCAGTTAAAAGAATTTAAGGCAACCTGGGAAAGGGAAGCAGCCCCCATGTTTGGCAAGTTCTAAGACTATGACTAACATCTCTCTATTTTTCCTGTGTTGTTTCTCTAAATTGTCTTCATTGTAATTGCACATTGCTTCTAATTGGACACAACTGGATGCAGTTCTTCCTAGCGGAAACCACACTGTATGCCTCACAACTGAGCCCCACATATCTCATCAATTCTAGAAACTGGCAGGGATATTTTCTCAAAATATGCATCAGGGACCATTCAGATGTCTGGATGACTTATGGTTCTATATTCTGGAGGAAAGATACTACAGGATCTTGCAAAACTGGTAAGAATAACTGCAACTCCAAACAATATCAACCTCTTTATGAGGGTAATGATGCATTTTTCCCCAAAAAACGTGAAGGAGGAAAAGAATCAAATGCACGCCTGAGTTGAAATCATAAAGCGTGGGGAAAAGAGAGTAAAAGAAGAGAGACTATTATTTGAGCAAAAAATTTTTTTCCCTCGAAAAGAGAAAATAGTGTTAATTTGCCCAATCTTGCTGTTTTTATGGAAGACAGCGAAGGAACTGTCCCCTGGAAATCATGTGTTACCTCTTCTCTGGGTGAAGAGTTCCCTGGGGCTTTAAATATTAGATGTGTCTCTTAGAGATGAACTGACACAGTGGCTGCAACAATGGGCTCAAGTATAACAATGATTGTGAGAACGGAACAGGACTGGGCAGGGTTTTGTTCTGTTGTGCACAGGGTTGCTGTGAGTTGGAGCTGACTCCACCGCACCTAACAACTTAGCTCGAAGCAAAGCAATAAGGTTCAAAACATGTTTTCCAGATACCAGTGACTGAGTGACCTTAGAAAGTCACTTAACCTCTTCTCTGTTTTCTGCTTTTCTTAAATTGTGATAGTGATAATTAAGTCTAGCTAATTATCTTGTTGCTGTTGTTAGGTGCTCTTGCATCGATTTCAGTTCATAGCCAGCCGGGGTGACAGAGTAGAACTGCCCCACAGCGTTTCCTAGGCTGTAATCTTTACAGGAGCAGATCACCAGGTCTTTCTCTCGTGGAGACACTGGGTAGGTTTGAACTGCCAACCTTTTTGTTAGCAGCCAAGCGCTTAACTGTTGCGCCACCAGTGTTCCTATCTAATTATCTAGAAAGGCTTATTATCTAGTAAGATTTGAGGCTTAATTAAACATACTAAGTGTTTTGCAAACTTACCTCTAAGTTTAACATCTGAGCACTTGTAGCTGAAGCCCTGTTCTGCCATTACCTGTATGAGTTGAGGGTAGCTCCCAAATACTATGAATCAGAGAAGGGGGGAGGA